TCTAAAACCTCAAACTTCCCTGTCTCCCCCAAAAAAGAGATTTATCTTTGATCAAAGATGGCTTTCCAAGAATGATATTCAAAAAGTTGTTGATACTGCCTGGTCTTATTCTTCAAATGGGACTCCTATGTTCAATCTACATGCCAAGATCAAGAACACTAGATTGGAGCTTCTGAAATGGAGTAAAAGCTTTAATTCTGAAAGAAAGAAGAAAATTGAGCAACTCCACTCAACTCTTGAACAACTTAGGTTGGAGGGAGATGACAGGGACTGGCAACTCTGGGAAGATACCAGGAGAGATCTCAACAAAGAAAATAACCTTGAAGAGCAGTATTGGAGGCAAAAGGCAAGGGTTAACTGGTTGCAAAAAGGTGACAAAAATACAAAATATTTCCATGCCCAAACTGCTCATAGAAGGAAGATTAACAATATCTCCAAGTTGACCAAAGATGATGGAACCATTTGTACCACTCCAGAAGAGATCACTGAATGTGTGGAAGATTTCTTTAAGCAGCTCTTCACCTCTGAAGGCTCAACAGGAGGAGCTCAACTGCTGAACAACATCTACCCTGTCATTACTGATGAAATGAATTCTGAGATGTTAACCTTAGTTAATGAAGAAGAAATCAAAGAATCCCTCTTCAACATTGATGCAGATAAAGCCCCGGGACCCGATGGTATGTCTTCCTCTTTTTTTCACTTTTTCTGGGCCACTATCAAAGCTGATTTTTGCTCTTCTGTCTCCAGCTTTTTTGAATCAGGCAGAATTCTTAAGAGCCTTAACCATACTCTTATTACTTTAATTCCTAAAATTCAAAATCCTATTTTTGTTTCCCACTACAGACCGATTAGTCTTTGTAGTGTTTTTTATAAAACCATATCTAAAATTCTTGCCAATAGGCTCAAAAAATGGCTTCCCCTTTGTATTAGTATCAATCAATCAGCCTTTATTCCTGAAAGGCACATTTTGGATAATGTTATTATTGCCCATGAATCTTTGCATTTTCTCAATAGGCATAGATCTGGCAACTCCTTTTATATGGCTATTAAACTAGATATGTCTAAAGCTTTTGATAGAGTCGAG